CAACCTAAGAATATGCTAGTTTTAAAAATATCTTTGAACATGTTCTTAAAATCCATGTAAAAGACATTCTCCAGAGCAAGCGTTGACGGAAAGTTAATAATAATAACTTGATTAAATGTTTTCCAATGGTGAACAGTCGGGTCCCTAACTGTTTATTTACAAAAAAAAAAAAAAAAAAAAAAACCACTCAAGGGGGAAAATCAGAAGTTTTTTTCCATCTGCTACTTATTACGTGGCAAAAACTTAGCAGCTAAAATAATAAGTTATAGGTTTATTGGTTTTTTTCTTTCATTAAGGTGATCATGTTTCATTGTATTTGCCGAAAGCTTACCTATACTCAATACAACATGCAAACTGGTTCCTGGAAGACTAAAGGAACACTACTCCCAGACTGACTTTTAGAAGTACATATAGGAAACACAGGCCATGCTTCCAGTACACGCCCATAGGAAACATATGTGAAAGCCAGTGAATATGCCACAGCAGAAATTTTATCAAGCGTAACATGACCATAGTTTGTACACTTGAAGACAGATTATGTTAAAGACAAAGTTATATTTCTATGTAATTCACACTTATTGTTAACCTGCATTACAGTTAGTTTGAGAAAAATGGCTCAATGACAGGGACAGTATCTTGTACTTCTTTGTAGCTGACCCACACTTTTTCTACTATCAATTACTTTCCTGCCCCTAAAGACTAGTGATGCATAAAAATAAAAATATTTTAAAGTTTATTTGAATTTCAGGGATTAGCCATAAGGCTATTCTTGTGCTAGATGGAAGTATCCAATGGAAAAAAAAAATGTCTTCAAGAGTCCTGTTCATTTCAACATTATAAGAACAATAGAAGTGAGTAAGATTCCTTAGGCCATTAAGACAGATATAGGGTGTTCTCAAGCAAAGTAGAAATTCTCTTTATCTTGGGAAATAATAAAAGGAAATTTAATTGGTCTTATGGGGAGAGTCTTAGAGCAAAGGTAGAAACTTTAAGTGGGAAAAAATCCACTGAAGGCTACAGAAAATCAATGATTTGACTTTTTAAGAACATGAAATATAAAATCAATTCACCTGCTCTTAAGACAAAACCTATTAAAAATATATTTCAGTTCAATATTCAAGCTAGACAAGGGGAAAAGGTGATAGAAATTAGGAGAAAGAAAAGACCATCACCTCAGGCCTACCCCAATGGTAATTTCAACAATGATAGCAACCACATATCGTACATTTTCTTGAACCCTTCCAGTTTCAAACAGCCTCTGTTGTTGTTCAGATACATTCATTTTCATTTATCCACATGTTCTAACTTCTAGTTGGGAAAATTGCTGTCAACTAACATACTTCTACCCTGACCTCCAGTTCACTCCTGCTGTAGTCCCAGTTCCTCCTGCCTGATCATTAGCTAGACAAAAGCAAACCTTTGCTTCCCACATTTATCATTCCCCTCTTCTCTTCCCCTACACTCAACCAGCCTCCAGCCCGAATCTGTTTTGGCATTGTAACCTTACCTTCCTTCCCTCTATGGTAGCCAAGATTCTCAATCTGGCTTTGAATTGCTCTCAAGGCTATAAATTCCATTCTACCTCCACTGGATACAGTTAGTGTGTTTGGCACTGTGCCCTGGACTCCCTAGTATCCCCAGCTTTTTGGCCCACAAGTTCTCCCTTTACAAACCTCAATCAAAAATCATTTCTTGGGTACTTACCTCTGGTCATCCAACTGATTTTAGTTCCTCCTTCTCTGAAAGGTTGTCTTTCAGTACAATGAAGGTGAGAAAATACTGATATGAAAATCAGATTAATTTCTCTAACATTCATGAGCATCTACTATATGTTCCATGCAAGCACTACACTGTACTTGCTGGTGGGGGATGGAATAGACATACCACAAATAAACAGAAGTTTCTTGCTCTCAAAATGCTTAGAATTGAATGGGTGGAGAATAGGGTGAAAAATTATCTCAGATATAAGGGCAATTTTGAAGCAAGATTAATCTGGCTTCAGTGAAAAAAATAGATTGCAGGGGGAAAGAATGAGCTAGGAAAATACGCTTGTCTCTGTATGTGGTAAACACAAAAGAGGAAGCAAGTGCTTCTGACCAGAAGACTGGGAAAGTTTTGTTGTGGACATGGATTTTGGATCAGACCTAGTGGGACAAGTAGGATTTCAGTAGTGGAAAATAAAAAGGAGTACCAAAGAATGCTCTTGTTGTCCTTGCCTATGTTGTTGTGCCATAAAGTCTATCTGACCAGGTCAGGCGTGGTGTCTCACGCCTGTAATCCCAGCACTTTGGGAGGCTGAGGCAGGTGGATCATGAGGTCAGGAGTTTAAGACCAGCCTAGCCAACATGGTGAAACCCTGTCTCTACTGAAAATACAAAAAATTAGCTGGGCGTGGTGGCACACACCTGTTATCGCAGCTATTCAGGAGGCTGGGGCAGAAGAATCCCTTGAACCCAGGAGGCAGAGTTTGCAGTGAGCTGAGATTGCGCCACTGCACTTCAGCCGGGGTGACAGTGCAAGACTCCATCTCAAAAAAAAAAAACCAAAATCTATCTGGCCACTGTTGTCTGTTTTCCAGTGGGGAAGTACATTAATTTTCTAGGACATGTGTTATTTTCCATAACAAAGTACCACAAACTGAGCAGTTGTGATGACAGAAATTTATTGTCTAATTTGGTGGATAGAAGCCCAAGATCAAGGTGTTAGCAGGGTTGGGAGCTTTTGCAGGCTGTGAGGGAGTCAGTTCATGCCTCTCACCTAACTCCTGGTAGTTTGCTGACAATCTTTGCTATACCTTGGCTTGTAGAAGCATTGTCCTAATCTCTGTCTTGATCTTCACATGGCTTTCTCCCTGTGTGCATGTCATTTTCCAATTTTTTCTATTTCATAAACATACCAGTGATAGTGGATTAGGCCTGTCCTAATGACCTAGTTGTCACTTGATGACCTCTATAAGGACCATTTCTCCAAATAAGATCATATTCTGAGGTACTGAGCCTTAGGACTTCAACATATACATTTGGTGGTGGTGGTGGTGGGCAGGGGGTACATAAGTCAGCCCATAGCAGAAATGTACTAAAAATATATAATAATATGTAAGCATAATAAACACTAAAATATAACATACTGATATAGCAATCGATTAAATCACATGACCAATATAATTATATTAGTACTAAATAAATAATTATAAATAAAATATATAATATAGACATAATGATAATAGTCTTTACTGACCATTTACTGCGGGTTAAGTTATTTTTTTCATCTTATTTTCTTCTCACAACATTCTATAAGAAAGTTAGGTCCAGAACTTGCACATTCGTTACACAGTTACAGATGGCAGGGTGTACCAAGATTATTCTATTAGAGTACCATGTACTCTAATAACTACACTAAGTATGGCATTAATGTACATGTGCATTTACAAATGGATAGTTGTAATGAAATGGATTCTTCTCTGTAGCTTTATGAAAATCTTTCTATATTTACTGTTTGTTTGTTTTGAGACGAGTCTGGCTCTGTCACCCAGGCTGGGGTGCAAGGGTACACTCTCAGCTCACCACAACCTCTGCCTCCCAGGTTCAAGCAATTATCCTGCCTCAGCCTCCCAAGTAGCTGGGATTACGGGTGCGCCCGGCTAATGTTTGTATTTTTAAGTAGAGACAGGGTTTCACCATGTTAGTCAGGCTGGTCTCAAACCCCTGACCTCGTGATCTGCCCCCCTCAGCCTCCCAAAGTACTGGGATTACAGGCATGAGCCACTGTGCCCGGCTTATTTACTGTATATTACGTAGATAAATGTAGCAGAAAGGCACTTTTACATTTACAGCTTTTTGTTAGGTAAAATATTGGTTATACTCAAATTCTTCACCTCAAATCCCACAGCATCTTAAAGAAACACCTCAAGTTTCATGTTTCTTAGATTCTCTATTTCTGAATCAAAAGAAGGGCACATTTATATCTAGGGATTCCAAGTCCACAAACAACTTGTTTTCTTCCCATGAGAGGTAAATGAACAATGGGAACAGATAATGCATTTTGGTACAAATAGAATCCAGATGAAAACATTAGAGAGGTTGGCTCCTGAACAAGTGATAAGATTTAATGCCATCTACTCTTACTGTAAGTACCCTTAAGAGGATACCAAGTTTAAAAAAGATGAAAGCAAATGAGGGTATTTTCATGTTTCCATCAAGGTAATGGGAGTTGTACTAAGAAGGAATCATAATGACAATAATAGTTTTGATTTTCACAGTGCTTTGGAATTTTCAAACTGCTCTCGCGTATTTTATTTCATTGGACTATAACAATCCTGTTTGTTGGGCAAAGTACGTGTAACAACCCCCAGTTTTCAATAAGGACACTGAGGCCCACAGAGGTTAAGTTGTCTCCCAACGTCATCCAACTAATAAATCACAAGAAACACAAATACTGTAGTCTGCATCTTCAGCACAGCTTTTTATTCGCCTTTGGGAATGCTAGCTTTTGAAAACAGCATGTAGCATTGCAGTGTCAAAACTGAACTGACTTAGGAAACTTTTAACCTCAATATTTGTTGCAAAAATATTCCATTGGGAATTTTGTTGGGAATTGTTCTGTTTTTTGAAGACTTCATTTTTAAGAGCAGTTTTAGGTTCATAGCAAAATTTAGAGGAAGATACAGAGATGTTCTATATATTTTCTGCCCTTATGCCTGCAATAGCCTTCCTAAGTACAAGCATCCCCTGCCACATGAGTACATTTGTTACAACTGATGAATTTACATTGATACATCATTATCACCCAGAGGTCACAGTTTTCATTTAGGGTTCATTCTTCTTATTGTACATTCAATGGGTCTGGACAAATGTTTGATAACATGTATCCATCATTACAGTATCATTCAGAGTAGTTTTGCTGCCCTAAAAATCCTCTGTGCCCTGCTTATTCATCCCTTTCCTCCATATCCCCTGGCAAATACTGATTTTTTTTTTTAACTGTCTTCATAGTTTTGCCTGAGAATGTCTTATAGTTGGAATTCTATAGTATGTAGCCTTTTCAGATTGACTTCTTTCACTTAGTAATATACATTTAAGTTTCCTACATATCTTTTCATGGCTTGACAGTTCTTTTTATCACTAAATAATATTCCATCATCTGGATGTACCATAGTGTATCCATTTCATTACTTAAGGACATCTCAGTTGCTTCCAAGTTTTGGCAATTATTAATAAAGCTGCTATAAACATCCATGTGTGGGGTTTTCCGTAGACATAAGTTTTCACCTCCTCTGGATAAATACCAAGGAGCCTGGATGCTGCATCATAGAGTTATAATATGTTCAGTTTTGTAAGAAACTGCCAAAGTGTCTTCCACAGTGGCTATACCATTTTGCATTGCCATCAACAATGAATGAGAGCTCCTGTGGCTCCCATCCTCATCAGCATTTGGTGCTGTGAATTTTTCCCATTCTAATAGGTATGTAGGGCATCTGGTTGTTTTATTTTGTGTTTCCCTGATAGAATAGGTGGAAGTTCTTTTCATATGTTTATTTGCCATCTGTATATCTTTTTTGACTAGGTGTCTGTTAAGGTCTTTGGCCCATTTTTTAATCTGGTCGTTTTCTCATTACTGAATTTTAAAAGTTCTTCGTCTGTTTTGGATTTTGATAACAGTTCTTTATCAGCTATGTCTTTTGTAAATATTTTTTCCTTGTCTGTCTGTGGCTTGTCTTTATTCTGACAGTGTCTTTCACAAAGCAGAATTTCTATCCCATCCCATCCCGTCCCATCCCATCCCATCCCATCCTGAGACAGAGTCTCACTCTGTCGCCCAGGCTGGAGTGCTGTGATGCAATCAATCTTGGCTCACTATAACCTCTGCCTCCTGGGTTAAAGCGATTGTCCTGCTTTGGCATCCTGAGTAGCTGGGACTACAAGTGCACACCATCACATCTGGTTAATTTTTGCATTTTTAGTAGAGATAGGATTTCACCATGTTGTCCAGGCTGGTCTTGAACCCCTGACCTCAAATGATCCACCCTCCTCGGCCTCCCAAAGTGCTGGAATTACAGGTGTGAGCCACTGAACCCCACCCAGAATTTTTAATTTTAATGAAGTACAGCTGACTAATTCTTTCTTTCAGGAATTGGGACTTTGGTGTTGGATGTAAAAAGTCATTGCAGAAAATGAGGTCATCTAGAATTTCTCCGAAGTCATCTTCTAGGAGTTTTACAGTTTTGTGTCTTACATTTAGGTCTGTGATCAATTTTCAGTTAACTTTTGTGTTGGGTGTAAGGTCTATATTCATCTTCTTGCATGTGGATGTCCAGTTGTTCTAGCACCATTCTGAATAGTTTTTCACGATAAAATGTTTAATAGCTGTTCAAGCTGCTCCTGATAGAACTTTGTATTTAGTGGCTGCCAAGTATCATATGTAAACAATGAACTACAGAAAAAATAAAATAGCAAAAGACCAAACCAATTCTGGGATGCAGATTCATGCATATAATTGCCATCTTGACATCTCCATTTGGATACCAAAGGTGCCTTTCACAGTTAATGTGAGAAAAAATTTGATTTCTATCACTTCAAATTTGGTCATCTTCCAGGTTCTCCATTTCAACAAATGAAGGACTCATCCCTCATTTTTCCCTTCCCTTTATTATACATCCATATGAAGATATTAGCAAGTTTCTATCTTCAAAATATATCCTATAATTATTCCCTTCTCTCCACCTCTATTGCTACCACCCTAATCCAACTAATCAAGCCCAGACAAGTTCACACATTTCCTAGTCTCCTTGTTGCCACTTTTCCCTTCTTAAATCCAATTTCATGTGGAAAACAGAATGTTCCTTTTAAAATGCCATTCAGATCACTTAACTGCCCTGGTTAAAACCCTTCAATGGCTTTTTCTTTTAGATGAAATAAAATTCAAACTCCTTAATTTGGTCTACAAGCCTTTCATAACTTGGTCCAAGCTCACCTCTTTGACATCATCTCCTTTCATACTTTTCTACGTGTTGTAGGCAGAATAATGCCTCTTTTCCTCCTCCCCCACCAAAATATACACATCCTAATCCCTGGAAACTGTGAATACGTTATCTTACATGGCTAAGAAGAATTGAGGTTGCAGATGAAATCAAGGTTAGTAATCACTGACCTTAAAATGGGGGGATTATTCTGGACTATCTGGGCAGTCCAATGTAATCAGAAGAGTTCTGAAAATTGGCCGGGCACTGCGGCTCATGGCCGTAATCCCAGCACTTTGGGAGGCTGAGGCAGGCAGATCACAAGGTCAAGAGATCGAAACCATCTGGCCAACATGGTGAAACCCTGTCTCTACTAAAAGTACATAAAATCAGCTGGGCGTAGTGGCACGTGCCTGTAGTTCCAGCTACTAAGGAGGCTGAGGCAGGAGGACCTCTTGAACCCAGGAGGCGGAAGTTGCAGTGAGCCGCAATTGCCCCACTGCACTCCAGTCTGGTGAAAGAGCGAGACTCCATCTCACAAAAAAAAAAAAAAAAAAAGAAAAAAGAAAATTGAAGAGGGAGGCAGAAGAGTCAGGGTCAGAGAAGCAAGTCTATCAAAGCGATGTGGGGTGATCATCAACCCACCTGGCTTGCTTTGAACATGGAGATAGAGGGCCATGAGCCTATGAGTGGGGGCAGCCTCTAGAAGCCAGAAAGGGCAAGGAAACAGATTCTCCCCTGAAGTCTCAGAAAGGAAAACCTTGGTTTTAGCCCAGTGAGACCATTTCAGACTTCTGACCCAGAAATGAAAGTAAATCTGTGTTGTTTTAAGTCACAAATGTTATAGTAATTTATTACAACAGCAATAGAAAATCAATACTAAGACAAGCCCCACTGGTCTATTTCATGAATCAGTACTGGCCTTGGAGATTTTATCTTTGTTGTCACCACTACCTTGGAATGCTCTGTTCCCATTAACATGGCTGACCTGGATCCTTCCTGTCATTCTGAGCTCAGCTTCATAGTGTGATCTTCTCTGACCACCCAATTTAAAATAGCCCACCACTGCTCTCTATCACATTGTTTTTATTTTCTTCATAGCACTTTAACCATATGAAATTACCTTGGACATTTATGGATATCGTTGCTTGTCACCTAATTCCCTACTCTAGAATATAATTTTCATGAGAATAGCATCTTGGGCCTTGTTCACTCCTGTATGTATCCTCAGTGCCTGGTACAATGTGCATGGTCAATACATAAATGGCCATTGAATGAATGAAACCCCTGTGGGTGGAGCACAGAGAGTGATGGGGAGAGAGGTGTAAGAAGAGGCTGGAGCAGTAGACAGGGGCCAGTATCTTTTATCTATGCTAAGAACTTTGAACTTTATCCTAGGAACATTGATAGGCCATGGAAAAACTATAGAAAGGGGAGTGATGTAGTTGTATTTTTTCTTTTAAAAAGTTTGTTGGAGACAGATTGGAGGGGGAAATGGTGTATGTGGATGTAAGGAGAATAGTTAGGAAGGATGCTGGTGGTAGTCAAGGCACAAGATGATGGTAAAGTTGGACTGGGGTAATGAAAAAAGCTAACGTACTAGAGATATAACTTGAAATTAAAATCAACAGAACTAGATTACAGACTGGAGTATAAGAGGTCAAGATGGATTGATCTCAAGAATTACTTCCAGAATTATAGTCTCAGCAACTTAAAAGACTATGATGCAAATTTCTAACATGGGTAAAATGAAGAAGGAACACATTTGAGTACGTACACTGAGTAGAAAGATAGTGAGTTCAGTTTTGGCTTTGTTAAATTTGAGTTGTCTTGAGGATGTAAAAGTAGAGACATCATGTAGACAGTTAAAATTTCAGCCCAAAACTCAATTTAGAAGCAATGGTGGTAGATAATGTGTTTTGAAGATAAAAACACTGAAAGCCATGGGATTGGATGAAATCATGCAGGGAGAGAGCAGAGAGAAGAGGGCTCAGGACCCTGCAAGTTCTCCTTCACTGAGAAGTCATCAGTCCTCCTCACTGCAACCCAGAAAGCAGGCCCAGGCTTTCTCAGCAGGAAAGATGGCTATTTGTACATTGAGACTTTGCTTAGCCCATTCAAAAGATCACGGATGGAATTTCCTCTTTCCTACTCTCCTCTGCACATTTAGGCAGAGGTGAAGCCAGTAAAGAAGACTGAAAAAAACAGTCAAGGAGGTTGAGGAGAATTTCACTTCATCAAGTTTATAATGACCCCCAAAATGGATAAAGAAACAGTGACTTTTGTGGGATAAATGACCCCTCCCTTATCAGAACATTATGAAGCCAAAGACTGAATACTAGCCTCTCTCATCCTAAATTCTTACACTAGGATAAGATTTAGGGAGCACATATATCAAGGAAACATAATTCTTGATGAAACTACATCAAGTTTTCCTACAAAAATATCTCCAAAAGGATGCTTTCTCAGAAAACCCTCTCCTCCAGTATGTGCTGCAAGGCAGAAGCCAAATTCAAGCACCTTGACTTGCTTTGTTGTGGTGGTTGGCTCACTCCTCTGAACCTCCTAATCCAGAGGTTCTTAAAGTCGGGACCCTGTCAGGCAGTCTGCCAAACCAAAACTATTTACGTAATAATGCCAAGATGTCATTAGCTTTTTCACTCTCATTCACTCTGGGGTGGATGGTGAAGTTTTCCAGAGGCTATAGACTGAACGGATTGAATGTCGAGATAAGAGAATATATTAAAGAAATTTGCAAAAATGTAATATAATGCTATTCTTCTGTTCTGGAAAACAAAGTTATTTTTCATAAAAAAGGTTAATGTTTAAGGAGTTCATTACTGATTTAAAGAAATTGATAGTTTCAGGTTTCTCTGTTTTAATTTCTAATACAGCAAATGCTGATATATAAAACCCATATGAACAGAAGTTCTTTGGGGTCCTCAGTCATTTTCAAGGATATAAAGATGTCAGGAAACCAAAGTTTGTATTGCACTGTCCTAAATGGTCACATCCAGGGTTCTGAAAACTGGGACAATTAACAGCGGATTCGATTCTCCTTCCCTAGTACCTAGCCATTCCACCTTATGGATAGGAAGCTCCCTTTGTACTAAAATTTTGGGATTGTCTCCCCAGTCTCCAAACGGAGACAGCTCTACCTCTGCACTGACGCTGATCTTGCTTGAAAATCTCAGTTGCCTGGTGCCTGGTCTGCATCTTATCCTCAGCCTCACTTATACCCAGGGTCTCCAGCCTCTCCGCTCAGCCTACATCTCTGGACACGATTCCCAGTCGTTTTTACAAGAGGGACTTGGGACTCTATTAACTCTCTTGGAAAGAATGGTACAAACTGGGGAGAAAACGCAGTGGAAGTCTGGTGCAGCTGGCGGCAGGGGCAAGGAGGCCCGGCACCGCGGTGGTGCCCTGGAGTGACCGTCAGCCTGGGGCTCACCTCCACCGCCCCGGGCTACTCAGGACACTCCCACCGCGGGATCCAGGCCCATCACCGCTTGATCAAATGCATTCAGGTCTCAGGGCTCAGGAGTCACCTGAGCAGGGCTGTTTTTGTCCATGGCCATCTGTGCAAGTACAGGAACGACTCGTCCATACCGCAGTTGGCCCCGTGGCCGTCCTCAAGGGTCGGATTTCTTGAAATCTTGAAGGAATATTCAGACCCACTGGGTTTGGCAGTTTCGTGGTTCTCTCAGACTGTTACCTCTCCTCATCTGACTAGACGGGAAACTACGCGGAAAGATTCTTCAGAGCCACACTGTCTGGGTCAACGTGGTGAGGAGGGGACTGACGGTCAGGCAGACGCTTTGAGTTCTAGCCAAGCCCAGTGGGTGGGCAATGGAGGCCTCTGCATCTGCGCAGTAGAGGCAGCGCGGCCCCACCTTCCACCGCCTGCCTTGGGTGGCTGCAAGTGCAGCTGCGCAGAAGCCAGGGGCGGGGCATCTTCAGGCAGGGGCGGGGCATCTTCAGGCAGGGGCGGGGCAACTTTGCCTGGAGTGGATTCCAGAAGTCAGGTTTTGTTTATGCTAAGATTGGATTGATAACAACTGGGAGAATATTTTTGTTTTGTTTCTGCTTTTAGAAGGTGAAAATGTGTTTTAAGATTAGAAGGAAATACTCTAAGGAGCAGAGCATGTTTATACAACCGTGTGTAAATCATAGTTTGAAAGAGAATTGAGCTCAACTTCCCACCTATGGGGCTGGGATTGGGATGAGGGAGACCTGCGAGTCTTTGCTGGGTTAGATAAGAATCACGTGCGCAGGAGCGGAATCTTAACACTGTACTGAGTTCAGCTTCTGCCAGGCAAGCTCTGGGAATAGCTTGAGGCCAGCCAGTGCCCACTGTTTGTCAGCATCTCAGACATAGCAGTCTGTGGCCCCGCAGCAAAGATTCCTGTTTGCACTTAGGGACTTTTCTCAGTGTGGACGGGACAGTGCCCTTCGCACAGCTCCCTGGACACTCGAGTCACAATGGTGATGTGAAACAGAAAGCCCCTACAACCTGGACATGGGAGGGAATTAAAGGGCCCAGCTCAAGATTTATACATCATTTCTATCCCAGGCCCAAGCTAAAACACTGACAAACCTCCCTCCACTATAGGGAAAGGGGCCTGATCCCAGAGGACCCAGCCCACAAGGATTTGATGACAGGCCAAGGACAGGCCTTTAAATTCAAAGGAGCTAGTCAGGGTGGAGCTGGCCAGTAGGCTCTGGGAACTTGAGTTGAAAAGGCAATGGAAAACTTTAATAACTCTCAGAACAAAAAGTGCTGTGTCACAAATTCCAGATAACTTGGCGATGTCAACCTTTCCACCTCCACGAGGAGGTAGATGTTTTCTAATGTTATCTATATATCTCTGTACCATCTAATTTAAAAATAAGCCTGTCTTGCAACTTGGCTTTCCAATGTCCAGCCTAGATTGCCTGTTAAGATTTTTTTATACAACTTTTGATGGCAAAGTAGGGCCTTGGGAAATCACAATATGTTCAGAGTGATTAGGAAATTAACAATTTATAGTTTTGATCCTTCTATTGTTAAGTCTGATGATTTTGTGTAAACAGGGCTATTTGAAAGGTGTATATACAAGTGTCCTGCAACTTATGATGGGGTTACATCCAGATAAACTCATCAGAAATTGGAAATATTGTAAGTTGAAAAGTGCAGACACTGCTGCATCCTAAGTAGAGAAGTGTACTGAATGTGTATTGCTTTTGCACCATTGTAAAGTTGTAAAATTTTAAGTTGACCCATCGTTAAGTTGGGGATCATCTGTCTATTTAAATATGTGCAACTACTTATTCCCCAAAGTGACATTTACATTTGTTGAAATTCACCTTTTCATGTACTCATGGCCACTTGTAGTGCTAATCAGTGCAAAGTATCTCACTTTAAACAAAATATTAACTATTTTAAACAATAACCTTCACATCGAAAAAGCAAATCCTAGTTAGAAATTCCGGGGTCAGCTAATCAAAAGCATATGCATGTGTTTAATATCAAGGCACAGTACAATGCAGCTAGTTTTAAGGAACAGGAAATGTGAAGGGAATAGCAGGAGAATCTCTAAAGCGCATTCCAGAATCTCATAAAAAGCATTTGGCAACTTTTCAGCAAGTTTAGAGACTCTCAAAAGTTTACCAATACTCCGTGTCCACCAAGAGTTGAGTGATGTCTGACTATGTGTTATGTTCAGTCCTGTTCAACTGTTTCTGTGCAGTTGTGTATGAGAATGCAGTAAGGAATTTAGAAAGCTGTGTCACAATACATATTTTGAAATCCGGGAAACTCTTTTACCTTATCATCTTACAAAATGTTTCAGACATCATTGACAATGACACAGAAATTGTCAAATGTAGACAGATGACTGTGTTCTTAAAGCACAGAAGCTGAGGGAGCAGGCAATTTATCACACCCTGCTTTGCAGAGTCAGCACAGCATCTGGGACTAACGACGAGCTTTGAAAAGCTTGCGGTCAAATACCGGTTTACACAAGGGAAATATTGTACAAAGTCCATGAGGTTTTTTAGAAAATGACAACTGTCATTGGGTTCTGCCTTTTAGGTTAAACATTATTGAGTAATGATTGATGCAGAAGGAGAAAACTGAATTGAGAAGGAGTGAGAAAGGTGAGAGAAGTGCACCAGAACAGAAAGCAGTATTCTTAGGACTTAGAGATTGACATGGCTCCAAGGAAGAGACTTAAGGCAAGTGGAATGGTGGTTAAGTGTCAGGATTTGGAAGACAAACTGCCTGGGTCTGGATCCTGGTCTTCTCACTTCCCAACTTATAATTGGGCAAATTAATGTCAACCTATTTAGTAGGATCATAATGATAGTATCACGAGGATTAAATACAGAGATGCATATAATGCAGTTAGCATAGTGCCTGGCACTCAGTACATGCGCTAAAAGGTAGTTAGCATGGAGTGGCAGGACAATGCCACCAGGAGAGAAGTTCTAGACTTAACCCATGTACAAGCATTAAACCGTGCTCATCTCAGTTACATGACGGGCCAGACTGCTGTTATAATGGAAGCAGAAGTGACATGATCACAAAGAGATGAGCCTTAGAAACTAATGGTGGATTCATTAAAACACAGACTTTAGCATAAGACCAAGTGACAGATTGTCATAGATTATTTGGACTCCATGAAGAAAAATATGTTGGTGATAATACGATTTTCTCAGCCTTACCCACAAACTTGTGACAAATTGTTCAGAACCTAGGATGGTGTCAAGAAGTCTAAACTTTCCACAGTTTTGTGCCATCTTTTAGCTCATTTGATTTTAGGAATGTCATTTAACCCTTCCACTTCTTCAGCCAAAAAATGAAGATAATAGAATTTTGACCACTTGTTTAATACTTTTTGCTAAGAATGTAGAAATAATGATATTAAAGTATTCTGGGGCAAATGAGTTTAGGAGATATAGAATAAAAACCATAATTGTAAAGTTTATTAAGAGGTCAATAAATATTCTTTCAATTGAACTTATTGTGGATATCAATTTATAGATATACATAAACATAAATATGAGAAGAAGGTAGAGACCTATTTATTCAACCAGAGCTACAGATTGAGAAGCAGATACAGATGCCTGGGTTCCAGTGCTGACATTGACTAGCTTGGTGGCTTCATTTTACTTTATTTTATTATTTTATTTTTTTGAGATGGAGTTTCTCTCTGTCGATCAGGCTGGAGTGTGGTGGCACAATCTTGGCTCACTGCAACCTCTGCCTCCCAGGTTCAAGTGATTCTCTTGCCTAAGACTCCTGAGTAGCTGGGATTACAGCTGCCTGTCACCATGCCTGGCTAATTTTCGTATTTTTAGTAGAGACGGGCTTCACCCTGTTGCCCAGGCGGTCTTGAACTCCTGACCTCAAGTGATCAGCCTTCCTCAGCCTCCCAAAGTGCTGGGATTGCAGGCATAAGCCACCGTGCCCAGCCTAGCTTGAAGACTTTAAACAAGTTAGCTAACTCTTCTCCTCCTTAGTTTTGTCAGCTGAGGAACACAGGTGATAAATTCTTAACTCATCGTGTTATTTTGAAAATCAAATATAAATGATTGAACAGTTTATGATGTCCTCTAAAAAATACAAATGCTGGTAATGTATATTAATAGGATATTAATGTGAATAATTGTTCTTTTTTTGTTGTTCTTTATTTGGCATTCATTTTCCTCCCCCTGGAGATATTTTAAGTTTTATCGTCTAAAAACTTTTATATCTTTCATTGTGATTTCTCTCTCACCATCAGTCTGACAAATTCATTTCTTTCACGTCAAACACAACTTTGCTTTCTTCTAAGAACATCTGTTTTTTTTTTTTTTAACAAAATGAGGAACATGACAGTAACTATAATAGGCTAGTGCTATTCCAAACTGACATAAAAAGCATTTTAACAAACTCAACATGATCGATGATGGAGTCTCTTAATTTAGTTGTGCAGAGAGAGATTGCAATGACTTGGTTGTCTGTCACTGTCTTCAGAGAAAAGCTATTATTCACAAGAGCTATCATGTCCATTATTATAATTTATTATGTAGCCTACTAAGATTTACTGTCCCTGTTTTTACAGGGAGAGAAGTTTGCCTAGAATAGAAAGCATATATTATATATATGTACATATATATATATATATATATTTGCAACTATGTATTAAAATAGAATTATCTAAACACACATACATTCATATCATTTATTAGATGTAGTACTCCATAGAGATTAAATACTGTTTTATTTTAAGGGTTTTTAAACATACTTATGTTATTTCCCCCTTTGTTAGTGAATCTTTCCTATAGCTTTCAGTCTTACTGCAGAGAAAAAGTTTAAAGTTTATCTCAAAATCTTCCCAAATCATTTCTTAGAATTGTTTCGATTTTTAAAACATTTAAAATAAGGAAACTCCACTATTTCTTTCTCAGGTTCGTTTGTATGTGGTTTGAACTGTTTTCTCAAATGAGAAGCACATCGAGATACACGGGATGAAATGAAGTTGAGATGAGTATCAAGCTACGTCTAGGGAGAAGTTAGGCTCTTGTTTCCCCCTGCAATGCTGTCTGTCGGCTTGAACCAATCATTTTCTCTGCATATTTTAACAAACTTGCATGAATGATGCAAAGCACAGCATGGATCGTAGTCTGAAAGAGATTTCTTCTCATGCATAGCTTATCCTGTGATGAGGGTGGGGTGGTGAACTCCCTCTGTGGGTGCTCAGGGGTTCTTCTCTCTAGGCTCAGCCAGTGATTGGGACAGCCCAGCCACACTCATCCTTCTTGCTGCTGCTTTGTTTTGAGGCCACATCTATGAAATAACCTCTTTTCAGGGATGCTTTATCTGCTGTGCCATCATATCCCTCTAAGGAGAGTGGAGTACATCCTTCAGCAGAAGGGCAGAAGCACTATTGCCTCAGAAATCTCATGTTAGAAATAACTATTGCATATATCTCTCTTCCATGCTACCAAGAAACATCTCAGTCTTCCTGCTCCTAGGAAAAGGAAGATGGCTTAGATCACCCACCTGTATCAAACATTGTTTTCCTTAATAGAACACAGGCAGGCTTATTTCTGGCCCGCACCACCTGGCATGAGAGAAAGGTGGCTTATTTCTACCAAACCTGCTGTTGCTAGCCCAAGACTTTGCAGGTCTTTTTATCCATATCATGCTTGATACTTTTCCATGCAACTTACATATTTTTTCTAATTATGAAAGCAATCCATATCCTACCTGTTGCCATCTACACCAGGGAAAGAATTTGATATGTGGTTGAATATTTATAACTTTATTCATTTCACTATTATTTATATCAAGAAACTGGATATAATATTTATGTCTAGCCATAGGGTAGTGCACTGTAATATTTAGCTTTTGTTGAAAATATGTTTTAAAAGTCACAGATAAGCAAAAAACTCCCATACAATGTTAAGTGAAAAAACAAATACAGAATGAAAATACATGATTTAGCAGCCAGTATCAACTCAGGTCTAACACATATATGTTCATATCTGGGTATATGGAAAAAATGGAAATGAAATATAACAAAATGTTAACAATTGCTTTCTCTAGGTGAGAGGGATGCTAGGATAATCTTTATCTTCTTCCATAAACTTATTTCCTTTTCCCAATTTGTCTACAATGGTCATATGTTGTTTTTATTTTTTATTTTATTTTTATTTTTTATTGCATTTTAGGTTTTGGGGTACATGTGAAGAACATGCATGATTGTTGCATAGGTACACACATGGCAGTGTGCTTTGCTGCCTTCCTCCCCATCACCTATATCTGGCATTTCTCCCCATGCTATCTCTCCCCAACTCCCCAACCCCTGCTGTCCCTCCCCTATTTCCCCCCGACAGACCCCAGTGTGTGATGCTCCCCTCCCTGCGTCCATGTATTCTCACTGTTCAACACCCACCTATGAGTGAGAACATGCAGTGTTTGATTTTCTGTTCTTGTGTCAGTTTGCTGAGAATGATGGTTTCAAATGCATGTTGCCTTTCCAACTAAGAAAAAAGTTTTAAAACATTTGGATGTTTGTCCTCCGCATTGAACTTCATTTTGAAATTTGATCCTAATGTTTGAGGGAGTGCCCAGTGGACAGTGGTTAGGTCATGGGGGCAGTTCCCTCATGAATAGATTAATGCCCTTTGCGGGAGTGAGTTCTGACTCAGTTCCCACAAGAGCTGGTTGTTAGAAGGAACCTGGTATCTCTCCTTTCTTTCTCTTACTTCCTCTCTACCATGTAATCTCTGAACACTCAGCTCTCCTTGGCCTTCTGCCATGAGTGGAAGCAGCCTGAGGCCCTCACCAGATGCCCAACCTTGAATCTGGCAGCCAGCAGAATAGTAAGGCAAATAAATCTGTTTTCTTTAACATTGCCCAGCTTCAGGTATTCCATTACTGCAATCAAAATGGACTAGGACAAAGTGTAATAAAAAAAAAAAAAAGTAAAATTACCCATTATATCACCCTCCAGAAGTAGCGGCCATTAAAAAACAACAACAACAACAAAACGCCTAATGTATTTTCTTCTCATCCCTTTTCCATAGATACAGCACACTATACTATACACTTATTTGGGTTATTTTAACTGAAATGGAAAGAATTAAATCAGACTACCATTACTGAGCATATGCTACAGGGTGAGTGTTAGATCAGTGTATGAATTTGTAGACTATCTATAGTGCAAGATCCTCACCATGCTGAATGTCATCGTGGAGTTTAAAGACATTTGTGTCATTATTGTTACTGTTTTAATATAACGTAGCCGCTAAACAGAAGCCAACCAATTTACTTGCTGTTCAACTAAGAAACAACAATCTGTCCAAACGCTGGACTGACTGATTGATGGTACTATTCTAACTTCACAGTAGATTTAAACAGAAGTGATTTTCCAAAGATTAGTTTGATTTAAAGCAAATTTCAACATGGAGACTGACACACGGTTATGAGTTCCACATGAGCCACAACTCCACCACCTGTAGCAAAGTCTCCTGGACGTACCTGGAAGAATCAGGCATGTGGTCTTGGGCAGCACTTCCTGCCAGGAGGCTCTGGGCTCTGAGCAGCCATGGAATGCTCAGGTGAATCCTCAACCTTCACTGCATGCTCGATGCTTAAACAGAGTTATATGGATAAGCCCTGAATTTCTTGAGGCCTAAAACCTCTGAAGGAAAAAAAAAATTAGGATTCAGGACAAGACACTCACAGATGTGTCTTCTGGACTAGTGGGGTTGATTACAGAGGACTTCAGGGAGAGGGGGCAAGAGGCATACTGAAAAGCCTCTGAAGGCAGAAACCTGGCAGGAAAGATCAGACTCAGGGATGAGCATTGGTATTGCAGGAGCCTAGTGGATCCAGGCTAAATGTGTGTGTGTATGTGTGTATTGAAAACTCATGGACTCAGGGCTTCTCCGTTCTTCTCAGAAGATGCTGATGGCTGTGTAGAAGAGGAATTTTATATAAAATAAAAAACCAGACTACTAAGAGCGCAAGTCTTATCCTGTAGGACTTGCCTCTCAAGGAGGAAGAGCGAAAAAGGAGTGCAATGTCAGTACTGACCAAGGAGAAACAAAATCACTGACCACCCAGGGAGGGGAGCAGGGAGTTCATGGACCAGGAACAGTGGGCATGAGAAGTCAAGAGCAGATTGACACTGCATGGGCACCCCATGAAGACCAGCCAGTGACCCCCAAACAGCAGGAGGCTTGGGGCAGGGGCAAGGAAGCCACCTGTGAGCAGCAGAGGTTGGCACCAGCAGAGCCACACCAGACATGGGGCCAAAGTGTGACAAGACAAGGGCACCAAAAAGGGTGGGAGCAGGAGGGGACATCAGATCAGCTGGTGACAATTCTTATCACACCCCTCCATACACTCACATGCACACCACACTCACATCCACACACCACATACATCACGTACTTATACATTCAGATATCACATACTGCACATACCCTCACACATCATGCACACACACTCACCCCCTCCACACACACACTATACACATTTGTGAACTCCTGAAAAGACATGGGATAGGGAAGTACTGAGATTCTGTACTTTGGTGGGAAGGCAGTTCCTATTCCAGCAAGACAACGCTGCCTAGGATATAGACAGGAACACACTTGATGGCTCTAGGAAATATTAGGAGGATAGCAATAGCACCTTTAAAACTAGACTATGCTTACCAGAGGGGTTGTTGACATTTCTATTTGAAAAAGTTACTGTAAATGTGTCTATAGTTATGCTTGCTCACTGAGGACATGCTTAATATCTGCATCCGTCCCTACATCTATATACACACATACATACGGTAGTGGATACTGTGATTCCCCCTTCACCCCAATTCCTGCTCACTTTCAAGACAGGACTGAGCACCCACTCCCCAGCTACTGAGAGCGTTGGTGGCCAATAGCTCTTAGCTGATTCCCTTTGTGGGCATTACCCTTGGGCTGAAGAGCCATTCACCCAAGTTAATGTCCCTGCTATGATCTGAATGTTTGCGTCCCTAAAATTAATATCTCAAAATATTAACTCCCAGGGTGATGGTATTAATATGTGGGGCCATTGAGGAGTGATTAGGTCATGAGGGTAGAGCCCTTATGAATGGAATTAGTGCCATTATAAAACAGGCCTGAGGGAGCTCATTTTCCTCTCCCACTAAGTGAGGACATAGCTAGAAGGTGCCCTTTGTAAGGAATGGGTTTTCATCAGATACCATATCTGGAGTATCTTGATCTTGGACTTCCCAGCGTCTGTAACTGTGAGAAATCAATTTCTCTTGTTTATAAGCCACCATTTTATATTTTTATTATAGCAATCTGAATGAGCTAAAACAGCCCCCTTTCCAGGCAGCTTAAATATAAATTTTTAGTGGAGAGACAAAGCCTGGCTCTCCTGCTTGTCTTGACTCCCGGAAGGGCCATTCCAGCTGGAGAGCTCTGCATAGGATCCATGGAGGCCCTTGTTTTTGCTGCGTCTTGGTTCAGTTTCTCCCTCTGCCCATTCCCCCTTCCTTCAGTCCCCACCACTCTCCATCCCCAGGGGCTCTCGCCAATGTATTTCATGCACACAAATCTCTGTCTCACAGTATGATTCCTGAGGAGCCTGGTCTGCAACAGTTGCTGCTAGAGGTGGTTTAAGGAAGCAGACACCAAATGGGATTGGGAGCTGGGGCACATGCTGACCAGCAGCCATGAGGTCCCCATGCTGTGGGGAGTAGCCCTGGTAGTAGTAGCAGTGTTAACTGTTAAAACTTTCAGCGGTGGTGAGCTTGGATGGGATATTGGTGGAAGGTATTTCATTATCAGATACAAGGTAGTAGGCATTTGAGAGGTTGGGAAGTCCAAATGTTTAAGGACTATGGAATTGGATAGCTGTTGTTGAGTGCTGTCATAGCTAATTTTGCAGAAAGATGGTGAAGAGTGTTAGCTTCCTATTGTACAATGCATTGCTACCAAATTGGTGATTTAAAACAACCCAAATTTATTACCTTAGAGTTCTAGAGGTTAGAAGGTCAAAACGGGTTTCAGTGGGCTAAAATAAAAGTTTATACAGGGATGTGTTCTTTCTGGAGGCTTTAGGGTACTCCATTCTTTGCTTTTCCCATTTCCAGAGGCCTCAGGCATTCCTTGGTTCCTGGATCCCAGGCAGCAATCACACCTTTCCAACCTCTGATCCCACCATCCAGGCTCCTTGCCTGACCCCAACCCTCCCTGGGATTACAAGTAATCCATAAGGACCCTTGGGATTACATTGGGCCTACTCAGATAATTCACATTAGTCTCCCATCTCAAAATCTTCAACACCGCAAGAACTGTAAAATCCTTTTTCTACAGGCTTTAGGGATTTGAATGTGGACATCTTCAGGGGACATTATTTTGCCTGCCACAGTGATTAATCATTAATTAAGGCTAAGTGTGAAAGCCACTAGGCCTCCTTGGTAGCATATAAAGAGACTCTCATCATCTGCAGCCCGCAGACAAGAAAAAACTGAGTAGGCCCACAACCTAATTAGAATGCTATCAGAGCTAGAGGAGGTTGACTTCTCAGCCAAAGATGCTACACTTGGGCCAGGCCACAGTTGGAAAGGAGTGTGACATGTTACAGGGATATCTGAGTTAATGCATTTGGTAATCTTGAACTCCCAGATTGAGCTGAACCTATACAAGTGGCCACTCTTCTCTGCTACAGGCCTGTGCTGTACTCTTTATCTGAAGATGATGAGAGGTCTCTGCCCTGCAAGACAGCACATGCCGCTCACAGTGTCTAACCCCATCTTCCTCTCTGGACACCAGTGACCTAGCTAGAGTTAATCACAATATACTCACTGGGGATGTGTTGTATTCCTTAAGAGGGAAAAAAAGCTTTATGCCCAAAAGGAGCTACAGGATGTAGCTATCACAGACCATGTAGTGCCAAGGGAATATGAATGACTCTGTGTCCTGAGGGTGATTAATGAAGTGAGCTAGAACATAAAAGCCAGATAAGGAAGAGTTTATCCGGGGATGGTGCTAAACTCTGCTTCATGCTGCTAGGGCAGCACTTCAAAGCTTGAAGAAAGCAGTGCTCCACATTGAGTGAATTAGAAATGCCAAAATTCTCATGGCAGAATGTGAAAGAAG